TATCAAAATGAAACCACCAAATGATCTCAAAGGTAGACCAATTATTGCTGGAATTAACTCACCAACATCACATTTAAGCCAGTTCTTACATATAATTTTGTCTCCAATTGTAACAAAACAAAAAACTTTCATCAAAGATAATTGGGATTTCTTAAGAAAGATACCAAGAGCGTTAAATTCGGATAGTTGTATTTTGACTTGTGACATTGTTAATCTATATACTAGTATTCCACACAATCTAGGTATAGAAGCATTAAAGTACTGGATTGAAAAACATAAAAGTTTAATAGATAAAAGATTTACTCCTGAATTTATCATTGAATCAACATACTTTATTTTAAAAAACAACAACTTTCTATTCAACAACCAAATGTTTCTGCAAATTATTGGAACAGCCATGGGTACTAATTTCGCTCCAGACTATGCATGTCTAACAATTGGATATTTAGAAGAAACAAGACTTTTTCCTAAGATTTTACCTAAACACTTTTCCAGTAAAGATGTAAATGACATACTGGAATTTTATTATAGATCTGGCCAAAACATTTAGATATCGCTAAGTTTAAAAACTCTTTGACTGAAATAGATAATTCAATCAGTTTTACAACAGACATGGGCAAAGAATTTATAATAGATGGAAATACTTATAATATTATTAATTTCTTAGACATATCTATCATTCTTGAAAACAACAGAAAAATAAAAACGGATATTTATTATAAAGAAACCAACACTCATGACTACTTAAACTACAACAGCCATATCATATAAAAAAGAAAATCCCTTATGGCCTTGCTAAAAGAATAATTGTTTTCACATCTGATTACAATAAAGAAAAACAACGTTAAGCAGAACTAAAAGCGTGGCTAAAAGAATGTGAATATCCTAATAATATTATTGAAAAAGCATTTCACAACGCGAAACTCCAAGGACCAGCTCCCCAAAATCAATTAAAAGAAATTTTTCCTTTAGTTACAACTTTTTACAGTAATCTGAACTGCCAACCTTTTATTACTGAAACAAATCTTTTGCTTAATCTATCTTCAAATGAAAGAGTGAAAGAAGTCCAACCAGTAATTGCGTATAAACAACCACCCAATCTATAATGTCCAACCAGTAATTGCGTATAAACAACCACACAATCTACTGAGAACACTTACTTCTTCAAAAATTCAATCAACCACTAAAGAAGTAGGATTATTTAAATGCAATGATAATTGTTGCAAAATATGTAAATTCTACCTTCAAGAAGTTAAATCATTTACGACATCAAATGGTACTATATGGAACATAAAAAGCCATATTACTTGTAATAGTAAGAATGTAATATATTATTTAAAATGTTTGTCATGTAACAAGAAAGCTACATACACCGGAATAACAATATTAAAATTTATAATTAGATTAATTTTTGTAAAATTAAAAGAAGAAAATATTTCGTTTATTGTTTATTTTGTTGACTAATTTTTTTACTTATTGGTTATAAACATGCTTCAAGTTATATATATATATATATATATATATATATATATATATATATATATATATATAATATATATATATATATATATATATATATATATATATATACATATATATATTCAAACACTTTAAAATGTATTCTACAAAAAGAGTGCTCAATGTTCTTAAAAGAACAGAGCAATTACAAATTAGTAAAAAATCACTTAGCAAAATTTTTTCTCATTTAACACTGTGATTTCTGATGAGTCTTTATTGATGAAGCACAGTGTTAAATGAGAAAAAATTTTGCTAAGTGATTTTCTACTAATATATATATATATATATATATATATATATATATATATATATATATATATATATATATATATATATATATATATATATATATATATATATATATATATATATATATATATATATATATATATATATATATATCTGCAATCTTGAATTAAAAAAACCTTTTTTTAATGTTTTCCTTTACACATATATATGAATCAGGCCATTGTTGTTATATATATAAATATATATGTAGTGTAGTGGTAGAGGGCTCGCTTCATAAGCAAGAGGTTCCAAGTTCAATCCCCACCACATCCCTGGTAGTACTATGCTCAACTCATTTCTCCATGCAACGGCTACGCTCGTCAGGGTGTGTGTTTTGAACTTATAGAGTTGATAGAGAGTTATAACCACAAATAAGTAGCTTCCTTGTCTTTAGTGGCCTCCTTGGCCTTGAGGAGTTGGATTAACAAAAATATATACATATTTATTTATTTATATATGTATGCAAGCAGTGAATAAGCATTGAGAAATGCATACACTTTTCTCTCATATATTTTATTTAACAAACATATTTTTATTTGATAAAATTAAAATAATATAAAAAAAAAATCTAACTTGCAATCTCCTGGTATTGAGCAGTTTCCTTGGTCGCAGTTCTTAGCACAAATTGCTAATAATAGTTATAATAGTGTTACTACAAGTTGATCAAAACGTCGCAAAATAACGTGATAAATAAAACTTTTTACCTTCATCACAAAAATGACCACTCCATCCTGTATTACATTTTTTTGCACCTGTGACAGGATTGCATGTGAAGTGACCTTTATCACTTTCTTGCAATGAACAATAGTTGTCACAATCTTTACCATACCAATCTTTCACACAACTTGTCCTATAACAAATACTTATAATAAATTTTAAAAAAACTTACAAATGGTAATTTTACTCATTTCACCCTAAATACTCCAAATACATTAAACAAATTTATCAAAATATAAAATTCCTCCATTATTGAGCATTATATCATAATAGCATAATAGTTGATGTTGTACTAATAGTTGAATTTTAAAAAATCCATTTTTTAATTCAAGAATTAAAAAAGAGCTATTTAGATTATATAAAACCATTTCAGAGCCAAAAACTAAAGAAATGCAGAGCCAATAGTTGAACAAAGAAATTAAAGAAATGCAGAGCCAATAGAAACTAGAGAAATACAATAGAAACCTACACTAGAGCCAATAAAACTCCTTTTTATTGCAATAAAAAGTTTATTACAATAAAAAGATTTTATATGAAAATTTATAAAACAATTCAATAAACTTTTACATTTTTTTCCTTCTTTGTTTTTTTAATCAGGTACTAACCCTTTTTGTTGTAACTTTTCAATGAAAAAAATAAAAATATCTATATAAACTCAGATATACAAAAAATATTTCATGTATCTTAGATCAAGTAGGGTTGCCTGAGAGTAGTATTTAGTTAATTCCATTTCAACAAACTAATATTTAAGTAATACTTTTCAGACCATTTTATTGTTTGTAATTCTCTATTATTAAGTGTGATAAAGGATTACTGTTCTTATTAATTGTTTGTTTGCTCTTGTTAATTGTTTGTAATGCTCTTCCATTAAGTGTGATAAACCATTGTTCTTACATTAGAAAAACTTATTTAAAAGTCATTTAAACATTGTTAATAAAGTATTTTAAAATACAATCAATATGTTCACTGATTTTCAAACAGTGTCTAGTCTTTCTTGAACACTTGATTTTATTTACTGAGATTTTCAAAAAGGTTGCTGCTAATTTTAAAAAACTCTTTCCATTACTTTGCTGAATAACAAGTCAAGCAAGAATGAGTTTTAATTTTTATTAGAGATGATAGCTCATTTGAGCAGAGACCATGATAGTATTTGTAGAAAAAAAAGAGAAATGTAACCTTATGACGATGGAAGAGTGGCTCAAGCTTGGCAGATAAAGTGATTCCAATTACATTTTTAAAAGTGATTTTGGACCTTGTTTAATAGAAAAAGAGTACCATTAGAAAAAATAACCTAATTATGATAACAGGACAAATAAGAGATTTGTAGAGATAGATAATGGAATCAGGAGTAAGATAATGGTGAGCAAGAAAAAGAAAAGCATCCTTAGCAAATGCTAAGTTAGCATTCGATTTTACATATGGTATATCAATAGTATTTCATTGTATATATTCATGGTAAAGAAAAGCAAACATAAGGTAACCAAAACATAATTCATAAGATGTAAAGAAGAAGACTCATTAGGAAGGAAGGTTATTCATTAATATAGGAATATGAACAGTATTGCCATTTTGTAATATCTTATTTTGACAAATATTTGTCTTTAATTTACCAACAAAATTAATCCAGTTTTGATTATAATACTACTAGCACTACTATTAACATATTAATTTAGACTTTAGACCTAGGCCTTGCTATAAATAATTTTTAATTAAGCATTTTTTACAAATTGTAATAACTTTAGACTATGGCTATACTAACCTGATATATGATTTGATGCCAGTCCCAAAACAGACACCAAATGAACATGTGTCAAATCAAAGAGAATATCAGCCGTTTTTACACCCTCACCTTACAAAAAGATGTTTCTAGAGGCTTTAGATAAAAAAAATAACATCCAATGCTTAAAAAGAAAACAGTGCATATCTTTAAAAAAAAAAAATAAAGACAGCATGTCTTTTTGTAAGGAGCTCTGCTCCTTCACAAAGTTAAGTTTGTTTTAATTAGTGCTATAGATGGGGTCATTATTCCTGTACCAGGATTGAGTAAAAAATTAAATTCAAATTTTGTGTGTTACCTATGCATAAATAGTGAATAATTTTATTGTTACTTAATTTCTTCCTATAACGCTATTCAGCCCACGGTTTAAAATTTTTGATTTTTTTGCCAATTAAATATCCCAAAACTGCCTATTTGAGGGTTGATTATATATATTTATATATACTCCAAAAAATAAATTTTAAAATCCTGGATTAAAATCAAAGGGAGATATTTAACTTTCATTTTTTAATTTTTTTTTTGATACTTTACAAATATTTGTTAGCAAAAATAGATTGTTTTTTTACCATATTCTAACGATTGCGACACAAACAATTCCCTTTGGACAGTCAGTTAGAATATTCTCTTTAAATAATCATTAGTAATTGCTACACAAGTAATTTCCTCCGGTCCAACATTTGTGACGCTCTCTTCAGACAATCATAATTGATTGCAAAACTATTTCCTTGGAGACAAATTCAGCACAAACAATTTGCACATAAATGAAATAAAAAGCACTAATCTTAAATCTTAATCAAACATTTTAACAGTATATAATTTAATTTTTATATATTTAATATATAATCATAATATTATATTGAAATCATTGTTATTTTTAGCAATTTTGAAAAAAAATAAAAATGTCTACATTTTTCAAAGACCATGACAATTATAGAAGGACAGTGTGTGTTATTTCTCTGAAGAAAAGTGACAGAGAAATTTCAAAACATTTTGTTTTTGAGATTCATCGCTTCAGGATGAAAGAGTGCCGCTTGGAATTTGTGTTACATGCTGTTGCAACCTGCAAAAAATAGGTGATGCTAATGCCTTACAGCCAATACAGCTCTACAGTTTTGATTCTATTGTTTTCAAGCCATTAACAATAATTATAACATGTTATAATTATTTATAACATGTTATGATTGCATTATTTGTCAAATTGCAAAGGTGAAAGGCAAAGAAAAACAAGAAAAGGGTATTGCATTAAAATATTTGCAAGAAGAAAGAAAGTCAGTTAAAAAACGATGCACAAAATGCTTATCTATCATTGCTCGTGGGATTTCTCACAATTGCACAGATACAACCTGCAGTGCAAACTTATATCGATATGCATAGGAAGATTCAGTGGGTGCAGAACAAGTTGCTTCATCTGTCATTGCATCGAAAGAAGCAACTCCTGGCGAAACAATTCATTTTGGTCAAGCTCATGGCAAACCTTTTCTGATAAGAAAAGGTTAGTTATTTTATTATTCTGTACATTCTGAGAAATACAACTTATATGTGAAGTAACTGATTTAGTTTTCTTTCTTAAGGAACATCTGCAGCTCATTCACTCTTTCAAGGCCCTTTGACAACAAAAAATGTCGTTAATATTCAGCAGAGTACTGGGCTTTCAAACAATAAAATCAGAAAGCTTGGATCTTTTCTAAACCAAATTAGTCCAGATCGTCTTCTTGAGCCAAATTTTCATCTGTTGAAAATATGTCTGTGAATATTACTCTATAACGTCTTTTATTTTTTCATATTATTCCAGAAATTTAGTGAAAAATTAATATTTTAACAATGTAATAATTAATAAGAAAGCATTTCAAGAATTAATAGTATTGTTTTTTTATTTAAATTTACTTATTTTATGCTACTATGGTACAGTTTTATGGTATAACTTTAGTAATACTTTGTTTCAATATTCTATGCAACAATAAATCTATCCATTAAATGATTTTTTTAATATTATACAGTTTTTTAATATTATACAGTTTTTCCTTCAACAATTTTTATTAGGATCAACTACTCTTCTTTCTCTGACTACATTTGTTTATGAAACCAACTCATCATGTTATTGTCTTCTACAAAATGACAGTTTGATAAGAAAATGATTTAATATTGTTTATTTTAATATTGTTAGAAAAAGATCAATCTGCTAATGATTTGTTAGCAAAACATCAATCTACTAATGATCTCTTAACAAAACATCGATCAGCTAATGACCTGTTAGCAAAACATCAATCTACTAATGATCTCTTAACAAAACATCGATCAGCTAATGACCTGTTAGCAAAACATCAATCTACTAATGATCTCTTAACAAAACATCGATCAGCTAATGACCTGTTAGCAAAACATCAATCTACTAATGATCTCTTAACAAAACATCGATCAGCTAATGATTTGTTAGCAAAACATCAATCTACTAATGATCTCTTAACAAAACATCGATCAGCTAATGATTTGTTAGCAAAACATCAATCTACTAATGATCTCTTAACAAAACATCGATCAGCTAATGACCTGTTAGCAAAACATCAATCTACTAATGATCTCTTAACAAAACATCGATCAGCTAATGATTTGTTAGCAAAACATCAATCTACTAATGATCTCTTAACAAAACATCGATCAGCTAATGACCTGTTAGCAAAACATCAATCTACTAATGATCTCTTAACAAAACATCGATCAGCTAATGATTTGTTAGCAAAACATCAATCTACTAATGATCTCTTAACAAAACATCGATCAGCTAATGACCTGTTAGCAAAACACCAATCTACTAATGATCTCTTAACAAAACATCGATCAGCTAATGATTTGTTAGCAAAACATCAATCTACTAATGATCTCTTAACAAAACATCGATCAGCTAATGACCTGTTAGCAAAACATCAATCTACTAATGATCTCTTAACAAAACATCGATCAGCTAATGACCTGTTAGCAAAACATCAATCTACTAATGATCTCTTAACAAAACATCGATCAGCTAATGATTTGTTAGCAAAACATCAATCTACTAATGATCTCTTAACAAAACATCGATCAGCTAATGACCTGTTAGCAAAACATCAATCTACTAATGATCTCTTAACAAAACATCGATCAGCTAATGACCTGTTAGCAAAACATCAATCTACTAATGATCTCTTAACAAAACATCGATCAGCTAATGATTTGTTAGCAAAACATCAATCTACTAATGATCTCTTAACAAAACATCGATCAGCTAATGACCTGTTAGCAAAACACCAATCTACTAATGATCTCTTAACAAAACATCGATCAGCTAATGACCTGTTAGCAAAACACCAATCTACTAATGATCTCTTAACAAAACATCGATCAGCTAATGACCTGTTAGCAAAACATCAATCTACTAATGATCTCTTAACAAAACATCGATCAGCTAATGATTTGTTAGCAAAACATCAATCTACTAATGATCTCTTAACAAAACATCGATCAGCTAATGACCTGTTAACAAAACATCGATCAGCTAATGACCTGTTAACAAAACATCGATCAGCTAATGACCTGTTAACAAAACATCGATCAGCTAATGACCTGTTAACAAAACATCGATCAGCTAATGACCTGTTAACAAAACATCGATCAGCTAATGACCTGTTAACAAAACATCGATCAGCTAATGATTTGTTAGCAAAACATCAATCTACTAATGATCTCTTAACAAAACATCGATCAGCTAATGACCTGTTAACAAAACATCAATCTACTAATGATCTCTTAACAAAACATCGATCTACTAATGATCTCTTAACAAAACATCGATCAGCTAATGATTTGTTAGCAAAACATCAATCTACTAATGATCTCTTAACAAAACATCGATCAGCTAATGACCTGTTAGCAAAACATCAATCTACTAATGATCTCTTAACAAAACATTGATCAGCTAATGATTTGTTAGCAAAACATCAATCTACTAATGATCTCTTAACAAAACATCGATCAGCTAATGACCTGTTTGCAAAACACCAATCTACTAATGATCTCTTAACAAAACATCGATCAGCTAATGACCTGTTAGCAAAACATCAATCTACTAATGATCTCTTAACAAAACATCGATCAGCTAATGATTTGTTAGCAAAACATCAATCTACTAATGATCTCTTAACAAAACATCGATCAGCTAATGACCTGTTAGCAAAACATCAATCTACTAATGATCTCTTAACAAAACATCGATCAGCTAATGACCTGTTAGCAAAACATCAATCTACTAATGATCTCTTAACAAAACATCGATCAGCTAATGACCTGTTAGCAAAACATCAATCTACTAATGATCTCTTAACAAAACATCGATCAGCTAATGATTTGTTAGCAAAACATCAATCTACTAATGATCTCTTAACAAAACATCGATCAGCTAATGATTTGTTAGCAAAACATCAATCTACTAATGATCTCTTAACAAAACATCGATCAGCTAATGACCTGTTAGCAAAACATCAATCTACTAATGATCTCTTAACAAAACATCGATCAGCTAATGATTTGTTAGCAAAACATCAATCTACTAATGATCTCTTAACAAAACATCGATCAGCTAATGACCTGTTAGCAAAACATCAATCTACTAATGATCTCTTAACAAAACATCGATCAGCTAATGATTTGTTAGCAAAACATCAATCTACTAATGATCTCTTAACAAAACATCGATCAGCTAATGACCTGTTAGCAAAACACCAATCTACTAATGATCTCTTAACAAAACATCGATCAGCTAATGATTTGTTAGCAAAACATCAATCTACTAATGATCTCTTAACAAAACATCGATCAGCTAATGACCTGTTAGCAAAACATCAATCTACTAATGATCTCTTAACAAAACATCGATCAGCTAATGACCTGTTAGCAAAACATCAATCTACTAATGATCTCTTAACAAAACATCGATCAGCTAATGATTTGTTAGCAAAACATCAATCTACTAATGATCTCTTAACAAAACATCGATCAGCTAATGACCTGTTAGCAAAACACCAATCTACTAATGATCTCTTAACAAAACATCGATCAGCTAATGACCTGTTAGCAAAACACCAATCTACTAATGATCTCTTAACAAAACATCGATCAGCTAATGACCTGTTAGCAAAACATCAATCTACTAATGATCTCTTAACAAAACATCGATCAGCTAATGATTTGTTAGCAAAACATCAATCTACTAATGATCTCTTAACAAAACATCGATCAGCTAATGACCTGTTAACAAAACATCGATCAGCTAATGACCTGTTAACAAAACATCGATCAGCTAATGACCTGTTAACAAAACATCGATCAGCTAATGACCTGTTAACAAAACATCGATCAGCTAATGACCTGTTAACAAAACATCGATCAGCTAATGACCTGTTAACAAAACATCGATCAGCTAATGATTTGTTAGCAAAACATCAATCTACTAATGATCTCTTAACAAAACATCGATCAGCTAATGACCTGTTAACAAAACATCAATCTACTAATGATCTCTTAACAAAACATCGATCTACTAATGATCTCTTAACAAAACATCGATCAGCTAATGATTTGTTAGCAAAACATCAATCTACTAATGATCTCTTAACAAAACATCGATCAGCTAATGACCTGTTAGCAAAACATCAATCTACTAATGATCTCTTAACAAAACATTGATCAGCTAATGATTTGTTAGCAAAACATCAATCTACTAATGATCTCTTAACAAAACATCGATCAGCTAATGACCTGTTTGCAAAACACCAATCTACTAATGATCTCTTAACAAAACATCGATCAGCTAATGACCTGTTAGCAAAACATCAATCTACTAATGATCTCTTAACAAAACATCGATCAGCTAATGATTTGTTAGCAAAACATCAATCTACTAATGATCTCTTAACAAAACATCGATCAGCTAATGATTTGTTAGCAAAACATCAATCTACTAATGATCTCTTAACAAAACATCGATCAGCTAATGATTTGTTAGCAAAGCATCAATCTACTAATGATCTCTTAACAAAACATTGATCAGCTAATGACCTGTTAGCAAAACACCAATCTACTAATGATCTCTTAACAAAACATCGATCAGCTAATGATTTGTTAGCAAAACATCAATCTACTAATGATCTCTTAACAAAACATCGATCAGCTAATGACCTGTTAGCAAAACACCAATCTACTAATGATCTCTTAACAAAACATTGATCAGCTAATGATTTGTTAGCAAAACATCAATCTACTAATGATCTCTTAACAAAACATCGATCAGCTAATGATTTGTTAGCAAAACATCAATCTACTAATGATCTCTTAACAAAACATCGATCAGCTAATGACCTGTTAACAAAACATCGATCAGCTAATGACCTGTTAACAAAACATCGATCAGCTAATGACCTGTTAACAAAACATTGATCAGCTAATGACCTGTTAACAAAACATCGATCAGCTAATGACCTGTTAACAAAACATCGATCAGCTAATGATTTGTTAGCAAAACATCAATCTACTAATGATCTCTTAACAAAACATCGATCAGCTAATGACCTGTTAACAAAACATCAATCTACTAATGATCTCTTAACAAAACATCGATCAGCTAATGACCTGTTAACAAAACATCGATCAGCTAATGACCTGTTAACAAAACATCGATCAGCTAATGACCTGTTAACAAAACATCGATCAGCTAATGACCTGTTAACAAAACATCGATCAGCTAATGACCTGTTAACAAAACATCGATCAGCTAATGATTTGTTAGCAAAACATCAATCTACTAATGATCTCTTAACAAAACATCGATCAGCTAATGACCTGTTAACAAAACATCAATCTACTAATGATCTCTTAACAAAACATCGATCAGCTAATGACCTGTTAACAAAACATCGATCAGCTAATGACCTGTTAACAAAACATCGATCAGCTAATGACCTGTTAACAAAACATCGATCAGCTAATGACCTGTTAACAAAACATCGATCAGCTAATGACCTGTTAACAAAACATCGATCAGCTAATGATTTGTTAGCAAAACATCAATCTACTAATGATCTCTTAACAAAACATCGATCAGCTAATGACCTGTTAACAAAACATCAATCTACTAATGATCTCTTAACAAAACATCGATCAGCTAATGACCTGTTAACAAAACATCGATCAGCTAATGACCTGTTAACAAAACATCGATCAGCTAATGACCTGTTAACAAAACATCGATCAGCTAATGATCTGTTAAAAATCAATGAACCATAAAAATAAATAGAATAAGATTTTATTTTAACAGTTATTAGTTATGAAAAATTGCAACTTTTTTCAATCTCTTCCATAAAATTTTCAAATATATTAAGTCATATTTAACTCAAAAATTAATTGGTAACAATAAACATATGTGTATGATGTGGTTTTTTATTGGACTTACTATGTAAAATAACTGTTTTTGGATATTCTTTTATAAATTCTTTACAGCAACATTTAATAAATATTCAAAAATAGTCTTTATAATTTCCTGAAAATATTTATTTTAAAAAACTTTTCCCTGTTTATTTTTTATATTAAATTCTTTATTTATATCTTAACTAATAATATTTAAATAATATTAATAATGTTAAGTATTATTATAAAAAAATGTTATTTAAATCTTGTAATATTAATTAAAATATTATTATGTTAAAAATATTTACTTAATTATTTTAGTTATGTTTATAATATTTTTTAAAGTTGAAATAAAAAAATAGATCAATAAAAATCAGTAAAACTTTCAACATAAATTTATTATATTAATTTTAACCTAATCAGCATTCCAAGGTTAGTACGCCTTCCATTAACTAAAGCTTGAACTTCCTTAGATACTGGTGAAACATCTATGTTTGTAAAGTATTTATCAACTAAATCATCGGCTCTTCCAACTCCCAAAAAGTTTTTGCTATCATCATCCCATACTTCACCTTTAAAACCAAAACCTTTCTAAATTAAATAAAAAAAAATGATAAGTCAGTTTTTACTATTTTATATTAAGTTTAAAATAGCTAGATTAAATTGTTTAAACTGATTGTAAATTTCTTTTAAACTGTTTAACTAAATGCAATAAATTTCAATCTATTTATAGCTAATAGAATGAAATTTTATTACAATAAAAAAAACT